GGAGCCTGGTCTGCTAAAAAAAAAAAAAAAAAAAAACTTTAAAAAATTAGCTGGGCATGGCCGGGTGCAGTGGCTCATGCCTGTAGTCACAGCACTTTGGGAGGCTGAGGCAGGCGGATCACTTGAGGTCAGGAGTTCGACACCAGCCTGGCCAACATGAAGAAACCCCATCTCTACTAAAAATACAAAAATTAGCCAGGCGTGGTGGTGGGCCCCTGTAATCCCAGCTACTCGGGAGGCTGAGGCAGAAGAATCACTTGAACCCAGGAGGCGGAGGTTGCAGCGAGTTGAGATTGAGCCACTGCACTCCAGACTGGGCTATAGAGCGAGACTCCGTCTCTAAATAAATAAATAAATAAATAAATAAATAAGCAAGCTGGGCATGATGGCATGTGCTATAGTCCCAGCTACTTAGAAGACTGAGGCAGGAGGATCACTTGAGCTCAGGATGTTGAGTCTGCAACGAGCCGTGACTGTGCCACTCAACTCCAGCCTTGGTGACAGAGCAAGATCCTGTCTCCAAGAAAAGTAACTTGCCCACTTTTACCACTCCTATTCAACATAGTACTGGAAGTCCCAGCCAAAGCAATCAGGAAAGAGAAAAAAATATAAGACATCCAAATTGGAAAAGAGAAAGTGAAATTATTCCTGTTTGCTGATGATATCATCTTATATCTAGAAAACCCTAAAGAATCCTCCAAAAGACTCCTAGATTTGATAAATGAACCCAGTAAAGTGTCAGGATACAAAATCAATGTACAAAAAACAGTAGCATTTCTATATACCAGTAACGATCAAGCTGAGAACCAAATCAAGAAGTCAATCCCATTTACAATAGCTACAAAAAAACTCCACCTAGGAATATATTTAACCAAGGAGGTAAAGGATCTCTACGAGGAAAACTACAAAACACAGATGAAAGAAATTATATATGACATAAAGAAATGGATAAACAATTCATACCCATAGATCAGAAGACTCAATATTGTGAAAATAACCATACTGTCCAAAGTAATCTACAGATTAAATGTAATTCCTATCAAAATACCAACATAATTTTTCACAGAATTAGAGAAAACAATCCTAAAATTCATATGGAGTCAAAAAAGAGCTTAAGTAGCCAAAACAATACTAAACAAAAAGAACAAAGCCGGAGGCATCACATTACCTGACTTCAAACTACACTACAAGGCTGCAGTAACTAAGACAGCATGGTACTGGTATAAAAATAGACACACAGATCAATGGAACAGAATAGAGAACTCAGAAATAAAGCCACATACTTACAGCCAATTGATCTTCAATGAAGTTGACAAAACACATACTGGGGAAAGAACACCTTTTTAATGGTACTGAGATAGCTGGTTAGCTACATGCAGAAGAATGAAACTGGGCCCCTATTTCTCACCACATATGAAAATCAATTCAAGATGGGCTGGGTGTGGCGGCTTATGCCTGTAATCCCAGTACTTTGGGAGGCTGAGGTGGGTAGATCACCTGAGGTCAGGAGTTCGAGACTGGCCTGGCCAACACAATGAAACCCTGTCTC